ACAAGCTGCAGCCCACACTTGCCTCCTATACTCTTTTGTGGCCTCCTGTCCTTTCTGGCAGTTTAGTCTACTTTTTAACTTTGTTCTTTTTTCCTCTACTTCCAGCTCCTGAATCAAGAAAATTTCTCTCTGTTCTTTCTCCATCCCACTCTCTTCATTTTGTTTTTCATTTATTTATTTTTTATTCTACTATATTTACTAAATCATTTGCTTATATCCATATAGACTTAAGTATATTTTATACTTTGGGTTATAATGCAGGACTCTTTTTAAGCCATTTATTCATTTTGTGACTTTTTTTGGTTACATATTCTTGTTATTAAATAATTTTATTTTTATTTTAGGGTAGCTTTTTATTTATTTATTTTTATTATTTTTTTATCAGACAAAATAAAATTTATTAAGTACAAAAGAAACATATACAGTACATATAAGAGCTCTGTGACATTTGCAGCTTTAACACTGTCTCCTTTTTTTTTTTTGCCACAAAACAAGTCTTAATACCTTCAAAAAGACTAAGATCATAGAAAATATGTTCTCTGATCACAATAACAGAAGGAAATTTAGAAAATTCACAAATGTGTGGAAATTAAATGACACTCTCTTAAATAAACAATGGGTAAAAAGAAAAATCAGGGAAGTTAGGGAGTATTTTGAGATAAAAGTCAAAGTGCAACATATCAAAATTTATAGGATGCAGGGCTCATGCAGTGCTTAGAGGAAAATTTATACTTGTAATCACTTATATTAAAAATAAGAAAAATCTCAAATCAGTAATGTGAACTTCTACCTTAAGAAAATAGAAAAAAGAAGAGCAAAGTAAACAAAAGCAAATGTAAGTAAGAAATAACAAAGATTACAATAGAAATATATGAAATAGGGAATTGAAAAAACAATAGAGAAAATTGACAAAACCAAAAACTGATTCTTTAAAAAGATCAACAAAATTTGCAAACCTTCCACTCTCTCATTTTGGTCTTCAGTAAAAAAGATACTAATCAGGTAGACACATTTAAGAGCAGGTCTTGAATAAGAAGGAAAGCTTTTAGTTTGGGAGGAAAGGTAGACATTATAAAGAAATAGTGGTTTCAGCCTTCAGAGCCCATGAGAATACTCATAAAAGTCTCCACACACCCCCTCTTCTCTAAATAAGCTTTGTTTCTTAAGCATTGGCGTGAACTATAAAATTTAAAACTATTTCTAATTTTTGTTGTTGTTCATGTCATTGCAACAGCGTTATTTTGTACAATTTTTTTTTCCTGTTGAGGATATCAGCCATATTATTGATTGAATAGAGTGTTTTAGTCTTGAAAGCTAACTCCCAAATATGACCACAGTTCCCTTTAGAAAATACATCCAAAGTTCTAAATAGCTGGCTTAAAAACAACCTTTTTGTTTGCAAGTAAGTTGAAGAGTAAGAAGTCTATCTTAGACCAAAGATTAGCAGTCTTTGAGAAGTAGTATGTCAAGATTCCAAACGCTTTCCTTCCAGATTTTTATCAGCAGAGATATGCACTGGAGAGAACTTGCCTGGATCCTTTGGAGCTAGGAAGGAAGTGACACTAGTTCAGGAATGCTAGGTCGGTGGCTGCTGGAGACTCTCGGGAGAGGTGGAAGTAGAAGGCAGCTGACTTCATACCAATGTCAGCTCTCCTGCAAAGGTGCTTGAGCCAGACGTCATAAGGAGTGTCACACCAAGACAATAGCTACCTACACTATATTGAGAGTAAAGTCCTATATTTTCATAAACCTTAATGAAAAAGGTTTTGAAAGATGTTTTTATTCAGCCTCCCAACAACATGACACTAAAATGGATGATGGCTTAAATATGAAAGTACTATACATTATTTGCTTATTTGAACTGGGACCATTGTTAACAGACATTCAAAAGTAAGACTTTCTATAATACTATATATATATTTATATTTTTAAAAGATTCTTACTTTTTATAATTCTAAGTGTATGTAGTTGTGCATGGTTGACAGTTTAGTCGATTCTGACAGAAGTTATCTTTCTCTCTTTTCTAATCTCTTTTTATTCCACTCTCTCTTCTCACCAATATTTGGTTTGATTTATTTTATCTGTAAAGGATTTTTATTTATTAATGAAAGATAAGATACTGCAGTGTTTTTTAGCAGAGAAGCGTTTTTAAGATTTACGTTTATTTATACCCCTATTTGCCCTTGAATTTTCTCTCCCCTTTAAATTTCCATATTTCTGACTCCCACTAACATTAATATGATTTATTTCTGTTCCTTCTTTTAAAAGTTCACTCAAGTGTGAACAGAAGATCTTGTCCCATTGATATTATTTATTGCTTTCGTTGGACATTTTAGAATTAAAAATTTGCCTGTGGAATGCAGAACGTTGTGTATAAAATGCTACCTCTGCGTGGAAAGGCAAGGAAAAGATAGAAATATAGTTTTGCTTTGCTTGTCTATGCATGAAGAGATTCTCGAAGGACATGTAAGAAATTAACAATGTTTATCTATTTGGGGTTGGGGAATGAGAACTAGGTAGATAGAGATGGATGGGAAAGAGACTTTTCACTATGTCCCTTTTTATACTTTTTTTTGCTTTTTTGAACCATATGAGTATGTAACCCATATGTAACATGAGTATGTTAAAGTAATTTTTAAAATTATGGCTCTAGTTCCCTGACTTTAAAATGTGTGTGTGTGTGTGTGTGTGTGTGTGTATCTCTGGAATCTCTTTCCCATATGTCTTTAGAATGCATGTGAAGTCTAGTTTCAAAGGACAGTAGTTTTTTGCAGGTGCTTAGATATGGCTTTGTTCCCCTTCAAGGCTTTCAAATGCTGTGGCTAAGATTCATTATGAAGTCTTCCATTAGGAAATTCTGATACTGCAAATATGGCCAAACCTTAAGTTATTGTTGGCTTATTGGAAGAACTATTTGATTGAAATTATCTGCAGTATTTTGCCAACTGGATACTCTGCTGTTTCCTAAGAAAACTATTAGATAACACCAACCAAATTAGTGCAAAGTTAATTTTTTCCCCATGATATCTTGTATTTTATCATCGTAGTTATAATTTAAGGTTATGAGTATGGTGCTTTTAGAAAATAAAGGTTGGTTTATTTTTAGTATTTAGATAATTCTTCTCTTTTCAGTTGTACACACCAAGCTAAATTGGGATTTTTATAATTTTTACTATTTGTTACCTGCATTTTACCTTGCAGAGAGCAAAGAGGAAGGAACGAATATTTATTGAGTTCTGACCATTTGCTGGGTGCATTGGAGACATTAAATACTCATAATAACTATGGGGTAGGTAGTTTTATTTTACAGATGAGGAAATTGAGCTTAGTGGGGTTTCGAAGATTTCTGTGTGTGGCCAACACAGGGCAGAGCTGATATGAACAGGTCTCTCTGGCTTTCTTGTGAGCTCCCTGTGCTATTGATAAGGGGGTTTATTAGTCTGTTTACTAATCTCTAATTCTAACAGAATATCTGAAAGTGGGTAATTTATAACAAAATAGAATTTATTTCTTATAGTTGTGGAGGCTAGAAAGTCCAAGGTCCAGGGGGCACATCTGGTGAGGGCCTCCTTTTTTTAAAAAAATGTGGTTATTCATTTATTTTAAAAATAAGATCAAGTTTCTTTTTTTTTTTCCTTTTTGTCTTTTTTCGTGACCGGCAACGGATTGCAACCCTCAGTGTCGCGCCCGTACCGGACCGGGACCGGCTACGGGATCGCAACCCTCGGTGTTGCTCCCGCACCTCGCTCAGCCAGTGAGCGGCCGGTCTGTATGTGGGATCCGAACCCTCGGCGGGAGCGCCGCCGTGCTTCCCAAGCGGCACACTGTAGCAGTGCGCCACCGGGCCAGCCCTAAGATCAAGTTTCTTTTGCAGTATTCATGGGTTGTTAAAAAACATGCTTGACAAATTACTATTTTTTCTAAAAAAATTTATGTATTTATTTTTGATTATACATATTTATGGGGTACAGAGTAGACTGTCAGTATTTGTGTACAGTGTGTGATGATCTTACCAATACTATTAGCATGTTCATCATTACATATCACAGTTATTCTGTATGTCTCTTACCCAATTACTCCCTAAGCCCTCTCTGCCCACCCCCCTTCCCACCTCTAGTAACTACAGGTCTGTTCTCTCCTTCTGGAAGTTCAGTGTATTATTGTGGCCTTCCTTCCTTCCTTCCTTCCTTCTTTCTTCCCACTTATGAGTGAGGACATGTGGCATTTCTCTTTCTGTGCCTGGCTTGTTTCATTTAACGTAATTTTCTTCAAGGTCATCCGTGTTGCTGCAAATGGCAGCATTTCTTTCTTTCTTAGGGCCTTCCTCTTGGTGGGTACTTACAGTGCCCCTTGCTTTTTTACATGCTCATTTGCTTCCTTATAAAGCCACCAATCCACACTCATGATAACTATTAAACCATTAACCTGTTACTCCATGAATGGATGAGCATAGTTCTCAAGATCCAGTCACTTCTTAAAGGCCCTACCTTTCAAATACCATATTGGGAATTAAGTTCCAACATGAGCTCGGGAGGCTGGGGAGGGCATTTAATCCACAGCAGTGGGTAAAAACTGACTCCTCTCAAAGCCATGCCTCAGAAAGAACAGGTGAAATTGATGTACAGATAACTCAGGTTTCCCTTTGTTGAAGAGGCAGTAAAGTGAGTTTGAAAACTGGCTTTTCATTTTTACTTTATTATTCTGAAATAATATTTATGTTTTAATCTAGAAACTAGTTCCAGATTTCAAGAAGAAAGCCAACTGAAAGTGTTTTAAATATCAAGTATTTTGTGCTTAATAGAAAAGGATTTAAAATTTTAAATTTAAAAGCTGTGTTAAATTCTGAACCTACAGAATTTCAATGTCTTATGTTGCTATCTGCACAATTGTCAAACTCCTGCTGTTAGAAATCAATGCCCAATGAACTTTACAAATGATAACAAATACTGTTGTGTTCTAAAACCCCTAACCATAGTAACTAGCACAACTTACCACTTTGCTGATTTTTGCTGGATGTCAGCTGATTCAGGTATATTGTGTGACTTGGCAGATACTAGGATGAACTCCTGTTAGACAAGTAAAGATGATAAAACATTTTAGGTCTGAATTCTTTTATGCTTTGATTCTATTATATATCCAAAGGTATTTACATTTCTGAGCAAAGATGGTGCTATCTGCCAAAGATGGTTTCAAAGATAGTTTGAATGTATCTCACAAAATTTATGTGTTGGAAACTTAATCCCCAGTGCAACAGTGTTGAAAGGTGGGGCCTTTTGGGAGGTGATTAGGTCATGAAGGCTCTGCCCTCAGAATGGATTAATGCTACTATAAAAAGTGCTATGGGAGTGAGTTCTCTCTCTTCTGCTCTTCTGCTATGTGAGGACTCAGAGTTCATCTCTTTTTGTCTTTTTTACCTTCTGCCACTTGAGGATGTAGCAAGAAGGTCCTCATCAGATGCAGATGCTTTGATCTTGGCCTCTAAAACTGTGCTATGGGAGTGAGTTCTCTCTCTTCTGCTCTTCTGCTATGTGAGGACTCAGAGTTCATCTCTTTTTGTCTTTTTTACCTTCTGCCACATGAGGATGTAGCAAGAAGGTCCTCATCAGATGCAGATGCTTTGATCTTGGCCTCTAAAACTGTGAGAAATAAATCTCTGTTCTTTATAAATTACCCAGTCTCAGGTATTCTGTTACAGCAGCACAAAACCAACTGAGATAGATGGTGAGGAAGATGCTGAGAAAATTCAAGTGATTGGGAAAGTTTGAAAAGAAGTAAAAGGTCACAGGTAGTAAATGAAGACAGAATAAACCCATAGCGTATACTAGAATCTCTTACACTTAAGACTTAAAAAAAAAAAAAAAAAAACGCTTTATTGAGATATAATTCACACACAGTTAAATTTTCCCTTTTAAGCCACACTTCAGTGGTTTACTTGCAGAGTTGTGCAGCTATCACTACTATCTAATTCCAGAACTTTAATCATCCCCAAAAGAAACCCTGGGCCCATTATCAGTCACTCCCATCCCTCCCTTCCCCCAGCCTCTGGCAACAACAAATCTACTTTTTCTCTATATAGATTTGCCTGTTCTGGACATTTCATTGAAAATGGAATAATGCAACATGTGGTCTTTTGTGACTGGTTTATTTCACTTAGCATAGTGTTTTCAAGGTTTATCCATGTTGTAGCATGTGGTACTTCATTTCTTTTTATTGGTGAAAAATATCTGTTGTATGAATGTACCATATTTGGCTTATTCATTCATCCCTTGATGAACATTTGGATTGTTTCCCCTTTTTGGCTATTGTGAATAATGCTGCTATGAATATTTATGTATAAGTTTTTGTGTGGACATATGTTTTCATTTCCCTTAGGTATATACCTAGAGCAGAATTATTGGGTCATATGATAGTTTAACTTTTCGAGGAATTGCCAAACTGTTTTCCAGAATGTCTGCCTTATTTTACAATCCCACTACTAATGTACAAGGGTTTAAATTTCTCTGCATCCTCACCAACACTTATTGTAGTCTGTCTTTTTATTTTAGCCATTTTAGTGGATGTGAAGTGGTATCTCATTGTAGTTTTGATTTGCATTTCCCTAATGACTATTGATTTTGAGCTCTTTTCACATGCTTATTGCTCAGTTGTATATCTTCTTTGGAGAAATGTCTATTCATATCCTTTGCTCATTTTTTAATTGGGTTGTCTTTTTTTGTGTGTGAATTGTAAGAGATTTTTACATATTCTGGGTTCATGTCCCTTATTACATATATGATTTACAAGTATTTTCTTCCATTCTGGGGGTTGATGGTTTTCTTGATGCACAAAAGTTTTAATTTTGATGAAGTCCAGTTTGTCTATTTTTTCTTTGTTACTTGTGTTATCAGTGTCATATTATCTAAGAAATTATTACCAAAAAAAAGGCAACTGGGATTTTGATAGGAATTGCATTGAATCTATAGATCAATTCAGAGAGTATTACCATCTAACAGTATTACATCTTTTGATCCATGAACACTGTTGTCTTTCCATTTACTAAGTTCTTTAAACAAAGTTTTGTAGTTTTCAGGTACAAGTGTTACAGTTTTTAAAAATTTATTCATAAGTATTTTATTCTTTTTGATGCTGTGGAAAATGGAATTGTTTTCATAATTCATTTTATGTTTGTTCATTGCCAATGCATGGAAATAGAATTGATTTTTTAATATTGATCTTGTGTTCATCAATCTCGCTGAACTGATTTATTAGTTTGAATAATTTTGGGATGGTTTCCTTAGGATTTTCTACATACCAGATCATGTTATCTACACATATAGCTTTACTTTTTCCTTACCAATCTGATGCCGTTTATTTATTTATTTATTTATTTATATTTATCTCTTGCCTAATTGCTCTGCTAGAATCTCTTGTACAATGTTGAATAGAAGTGAAGAGAGCTGATATCCTTGCCTTGTTTCTGGTCTCAGGGGAAAAGCATTCAATTTTTCACCATTATACATGATGCTAGCTCTGGGTTTTTCATAGATGCCCTTTTTACCTTGAGGAAATTCCCTTCCATTCCTAGTTTGTTGAGTATTTTTACTTTTGCAGGGTGTTGAGTTGCATCAGACACCTTTTCTGTGTCTATTGAGATGGTCATGTGGTTTTTATCCTTTAAATATGGTGTAGTACGTTGGTGGATTTTCAGATGTTAAACCAACCATGCATTCCTGGGATAAATCACATTTGGTCATGATGTATAATCCTTTTTATGTCTTGCTGGAATTGGTTTGCTGGTATTTTGTTGAGGATTTTTGCATCTATATCTGTAATTTTCTTTTTTTGCGGTATCTTCTATTTTTGATTTTGTCAGAGTAATACTGGCCTTATTTAATGAGTTGCAAAGTGGCCCCACCCTTTCTTTTTCTTGGAGAAGATTTCATGAAAGATTGGTATTAATGCTTTTTTGTTGTCGTTGTTGGTGGCTTGCTGGTATGAGGATCTGAACCCTTGACCTTGGTGTTTGCTAAGGATTGATGTCCCCAAAACGTAGTCCTTACTGTGACAGTGTAAAGAGGGTGGGAAATCCTATTATGTGAATTGAAAAGTGAGACCTTGAAGAGATGATTGGACTTTGAGAGCTATGCCTAGTGAATGGATTGATTCATTCACTGAGTAATAAATTGATAGATTAATGGTGGTCATGGGTGTGATTCTGAGGCCTTTAAAAGGAGAAGACAGGAGGAGCTCTCTCTCTGCTGTGCCATTTTCTGACATGTGAGACCCCTGGGTTACTGTCACCACCACCAAATGTGTTTCCTAGACTTTGGACTTCCCAGCCTCTGAAACTGTAAGCAATAAATTTTGTTTTCTTACCTATCAGTTTCAGGTATTTAGTTATAAGTGACAGAAATGGACTAATACAGTGTTGTAACTGGTATTAATTTTTAAAAAAACATTTTGTAGAATTCACCAGTGAAGCTGTTTGTACCTGGGCTTTTCTTTGTGGGAAGCTTTTTGTTGCTTTGCTCCACACAGATTTGTCACCCCTTTTCCCCTGGGTGACAGAGCTGCAAAGGATTACTCAAAGCCCATCTCTTCTGAGCAGTGAGAAGCCCCAAAGTGGTTAATCTCCTGGAACCCTCAAGAGCGAGCCATTCTTTCCATTTGGGAAATTAACCATGAATTGGGGTTCTCTTCCTGCATTTATTCTCCAGCCCAGGAAGTTACAGGAAGAGACATAGGTGGGCTTAAAGTCCTAACAAGTTTAACAATAGAAGCTGGTAACATTCAGTAAAAACAAGTCAGATGACATTCCATTAGGCAATTAAGTGATCCACCAACAAAAGGTTGATCTTAGCAAACATTTTCTTCTTACAGCAATTTCCCAGTATCTTTACTTATCAATCAGTAACCTGTCTTTGAGCCAGCAACTTTGCTGTGTTACAACTCTTTATCTTAAAACAGAGACTCAATAGCCTGGGGAAAATTTCCTGGTTTTTGTAAGGTCAATATTTGAAACTACAAGGCTTTGGAAAACCAGGCCCTGTGAAGTACATTTGCTTTATGCATACTTTATAGCTTTTTCTTTTTTTTTTTTTTTGATTACTAATTCAGTCTCTTTACTTGTTATGTATCTATTCAGATTTTCTGTTTCTTTTTGACATAGTTTTGGTAGTTTGTTTCTTCCTATTAATTTGTTCATTTCTTTTTTTTTTTTTTTTTTTTCCTTCCTTTTTGTCTTTTTTCGTTTCCG